TAATTATGAAATATTTTAAAATCCTTAGTCACAACTTTCAGCTACTTATGCCTTGTCTAAAACACGCCAACGGAAAGACCATGCATTTATCCTTCAAAAGCATATGTAATGATGCAGTCTAATTAAAAATGAAAAAATTTAATGCAGAATGCGAAACTACTGCTGATACAAACATCTGATACAGTTAAAACATTACAAAATATTTGGAAATGTTGACATTTCAAAGAGGTTCTTTCTAAAAAGAAATAGTCCTTTAAAAAATTTACCATTTGTCTCTGTGTTGGTAAAGGTCTCTTCCTGTTGTTCAGTCTCCATTGCCTTTTTCTCTTAGGTGGGCAGGCAAAACCTGTTGAAGAATAAAAAAGCTGGTACATCTATTTTGTGAAAAGGCAAACTCTGTATCGTACTAAAGGGCAAAAGCAAAAAGAAATGCCTGCTTCTAGAACTTACCGCTATTATATATCCTTGCAGAGAAAAACTCAAGTATTCTGGGCGGGATCAAAATCCAACAGCCTATTGCTTCAAGAGCCTATGAAAACAGCATATATCAGTTGTGACTCTGCTCACTTACAGCCCTGATTCTCACTACAGCCAAAAACCGGGGGTTTGACCTGAGTTTTTGATGCAAAGTTCTTTATGAAACAGAAAGCATAGCCAGGCCAAACACACCACTAAGAGGAGATTAAAAGACAAGTCTGTAAACTTACAGATAAACAATTACTGTCTGAATTATAGTTTTTGGGCACATACTAGTTTCAAGTAACCACATTCACTAAAAACTATTTTCAGATATTTGAAGTGAACATGCATCCAGCTCCTGTTTTCAACATGTTACATGAGGCATGCCTCATGTTTACTTTTCAAAGGACACTATGTAACAATCTGCTCCTGCTGTTTAGTTCTAACCTATTTAAAGAAAGTCCTGTTAGGGTAGTTGTCAGCACTAGTTTTATGAATTCCCTACCAATATACTAGCAGGCATTTTAGCATGCCTTCCACTTCAGTATAACAGATGAACAAAAGACAAATTACAACTTCTTGCCACACTGGGAAAAAATCTTTTCAAAATACCACCCTCTGTAGTTACATATAACCCTCTACACACACATACACATGACCAATAACCTCAAAGCAGCTGAATTTCACTATGAATTTCTGGAATAGCTATTGTATTTCCGACCTGCTTTTGTTAATTTCATCTCTGAATACTACTAAGTCACCTTAGAGAGAAGCCTAGATAAAAGAAATAATTCTGCAACTTAACTCTCTTCAAAAAAGCCAAACAATCGTGTATTTTGCCCTTGTCTTTTATTGATTTCCACTGCCTCAACATATAGTAGCTGTTGATTCTGGTATCTGGGGCGTGGGGAGGCACATTTAAGTTTTTAACCGTAATCTCAGCCAGCTGTTAATTTGTAATTGTAGCCCTGCTTGCACGGGCTAACAGCAGGCACTGCCTTCCCAGCACACGCTGGTCTTTCCAGGCTCTTAAAGTGAGCTAACGGACACAGACAGATTTCATGATAGCGAAGTCTCAGCCAGACCTTGCCAAAACACTGTTATGCGGGGGAGAGCAGGGAGGGGCCGGGCAGATTTTTACACGGTTTAAATAGCCCTTTCGGACCCCGGTTATTCTATCTCCAACCATCCCAAGAATGTTAGGGCTGCGGGGAGCGAGCTGTAAGACACTGCTCCGGGCTTACTCTCCCCTAGTCGCGTCTGTTCACCCGCCTAGCCAAACTTCCCCGGCCGAGCCGCCGGCACCTAAGGGGCTCTCGGTTACGGCGCTCCGCCAGGCACACCGAGTTCGCCGGATTAAGGTGACCAACGCCATGTTTTCATGAACACCGAAAGGATAATGGCACCTAAGGGGCTCTCGGTTACGGCGCTCCGCCAGGCACACCGAGTTCGCCGGATTAAGGTGACCAACGCCATGTTTTCATGAACACCGAAAGGATAATGCGGCCACGGAAGGCGCCCCCAGCTACCACAGACGTAAAACAAGAGCTCAGAAACGCCGGCGCGCCTCAGCCCCGCTCCCCCCGGGGC